GTTTAGGGTTTAGGGCTTGGGTTCCGGAAACGAGGGGTCCCTTTTCGGGCGTTCCCTATCGTCAGGATAGCAATAGATTGGGTTCAAGATTGGGTTCCCCAATACGGCTTCTTGATTGAGTAAGGGGTTGTACTGTGGCTACTAAAAATACTGCATGACCCTAAGTACCTTATACCCTGGGAATTATGGTATGATATCATTTTAAAGTCATGCAGGATTTTTAGTATCACATTCTGCACATTGAGGGTCTACGGGTTTATGGTTTTAAGATGCCCCGAGCCCAAGCCTCTTGCAAACGGGCTTGGGCTTTAAAACTCACAATTCCGCCATAAACCTGTAGATGGATCCTCTTTTTGTGGTTTTTGCTGTTTGACCTTTCTTGGTTGTTGGTCCCTCCAATGCCAGCCCAGGCCAGCAAGTGAGTGAACTCCCGACCCCCCGCTCCAACATAGAAAAAGAAACAACACGGCCCCCGCCCAAACAGCAAAACAAAGCACGGGTCCCTGCACAAACAACAAAAAACATATATACCTGCCCAGACAAAAACGCCCCAGCAACGAACCATAGCAAACAACAACAACAACAAAAAAAATCTTACCACAAAAATCTGAATCACATACCTTCCCAGACTTTAGGTTAAGGGCTTACCCGCGGAATCCCATATGGCCCGCTTCTTGAAAAAGGAGAGTAATCTGTGCCTTTATTAATCCTACCCCCAATATATCCCGATGTATTCCTTCTGTACCTCCTACTATGCCCTGTGGGGGATTTCCTGCTACGGGAGGGTAGATCTTGAGGTTAAGGCTTCCTGCCCCAAAGCCGCAGATGTGTAGCAAACACGTTTGTAATGGAAATGTAGAGTTCAGGCGTTTTGTGTGTTTTCAGGGTTGTTTTTAGGTGATCTTGGTTTTGGGGCTTCGGATTCAGGGCCTAGGGTTTAGGATTTAGACTTCGGGTTTTAGTTTTTTTGTTGTTTGTTGGGGGGGGTTGTACGAGCGTGTTTAAGGGCCTGAGCTTCAAGTTGCAAAGTTAGAGTTTGCAGCGTACTTACGGCTCAGGGAGTTTGGTTCTACTACTGTTGAGGGACAACGCCCTGCATGACCCTACTGTAACTTTACTACCTAATTTCTGGGAAATATGGTAGTATAATAGAACTCTGGGGATCGCTCATTACTGCTTCCGCCCAGAAACTATTTGGAGCCCTTCCTCCCAGCATGAAACCCTCCCAGCCCTATGTAGCACAGCTGTTGGGGTATTGCACGGAAAGAGATCCAACCAGCAGAAGGGGTTTTTAAACGAAGGGACGGAATCTCTTGTCCCTAAGCCCGGAACTGCAGTCCCGTGGGGATCTATGTTGCACTTTGATGGCAGTGGCCACCAATGACCCAAAGCCAAAAGACGCGTAGCAACCCAATGCTATCTTTATAGAAAATTCTGCAGTGCTGGGCCTATGACGAGCCCGAATCTTCAGCCGCCTCAAACTCAACCCGCATGGTACTAAACTCCAAGCCTCAACCCCAAACTGCACTGACCCTCCAAGTACTCTCCATTATGGCCTACACATCCACCCTTGGGACTCTATAGTACTGTAGCCTCCATGCCACGGCAGTTGAAGGGTCTCGGTCTTCACGCTTGCAGGACCCGGAAAGTGCCCCAAGGGCGCTTCTCGAGCCACTGGCCGCCACAGCACAGGAGGGCGCAGTACAACAGGGCTTGCACCCTTTGAGGGGCAGTCTGTAGTGTGGCCATCTAGGGATATGTATCGTTTAGGTATGAGGGATGAGGGTGTAAGGTTTAGGGTTTAAAGGCTTGCAAGCTTTCAGCCTTTTTGCCTCATAGAAGGGATCGGAGTATTCTGGAGTACACAATAGGACACATGCCCATATACGATTTCTTGTCTACAGTTACAGTGGTCACAAAAGGCCAAAGGGGTTGACTGAAAACCCTAAGCATAGTTAGGACATCTCAGAAGGGACGGACTACGTTTAGCTTCGAGGTTGTTTGTAGGGGTTGCATAGGCTGCATAGGGCTTATGAGGTTTCGGACATCGGATTTCAAGTCTACTGGCTGCGCCTGAGGCCCGGTCTGGAGTGGCAGAGAAGACAGCCTGTAATAGTCGACTTCGACATGGGGGTTGACATCTGGTTTAGTGACGTAGTCAATCCCTGCACCCCAGACTTAAGGCTGGGTCTAGTCGCCAAACCTTAGAACTTAACGCCCGCAGCTTAAGTTTCACAGTGCTTGTACAGTCCCACTGCAGGAAGAGAAAGCCCTTCTCTTCGCGCGCGGTGTGGTCAGAGTGTCCTGGACATGGATATCGGTATTGGGTCAAAGATTTAGGGGTTGAAGCCTCGAGTTTAGGGAAGAGGGGTTGGAGTTGATTTTTTCAGATAGGGGGACCATGTAGATACCAATAACTAGGGATGTAAGTTGATATAAGGGGTTTACAGAGGGGTAAAGGCGGCCTCTTCTGAAGATCGTGTAGGGGTGGTCCTGCATGATCTCTGCATACCAGAGACTGTCGCTAGAAGACGGCATGTCACACGGCCAGGATTTTTTGTATGAACAGTATGATGAGTTTCTAAGAGGTGTTCTGGGCGTTCTATTGCGCAAGCCACAGAGACTTTACGTTTGAAAGATACCTTGTAGGGATCTTCTGATCTGAAAGATCCTCTGTGGGGATGTCTCAGAACTGGCTTCCATTTCATTTTCCATTTCTTTTCCTTTTGTTTCTTGATTATTGTGGCCTTCCCTAAGCCTTGAACCTTTTTTCTTGGTATGTTGTAGGGCTTGGCTCGGCTTTTCTGGGGAGTCGAAGGCACAACCAACATGTTTCTGTGCCGGGGGGGGGGGGGCCTGGGCGTTGTTCGCAACATTGTGGATCCTTGTTTGGGCCCCTTCCTCTTTGGACCCCCTTCCCTTTTTGGGAGGCCCTTGTCTCAACTGCCCGCTATACAGTGGAGTGGATCCCCATCAACAATTCCGGCTGTCAAGCCGACCCGAAACACGAAAAGCACAGGGTGTTTGGTTCAAGACCCTAAACGCTAAATAGCAGTTTCCATGTTATTTTCCATTATCCCAATATATCCCCAACCCTAAACCCAATACTATAGCAGTTTCCATTTTATTTTCCATTATCCCAATATAATAACCCCTATGTAACCCCTATATTCTATCTATTTAAGGGGGACTGAACCACGAAAAGCTTAGATCCTGTAAGCTACTAAATACAAGTAAACCATGCAATGTGTCCAGTACATTATAGTATATTATGGGATATGATAGTACTTTATAGTATATTATGGTATATCTTCGCAGATATTGTATTGTTAGACCCCAATTATGGAGACTCAAATGGAAAATGAAATGGACACTGGGATTATTTTGGCAGACCCTTGGCCCCAACTGTGGGCGTGATGTTGCCCACGCTGGACGTTTCCGATGAAGGTGCGAGCCTGTGGGATTTCTAGAAGGACACTATTGCTTGTACAAAGGACATTATTCCGAGTATAAAGGACACCAGTCCTAGCGTGCTCGATGCGAGAAGCATTGAGGTAAGTTTCGAACATGACCTGGGTCATTCCCCCCTACAGTAATAGTTATCACAAGGTGCAATAGGAGTTCTAATCGCCCCCTAATAAGGCCCCCTTTAAGGACAGTTACAGGGTGAGGGAATGACCCAGAACATGACCCTGTTTTACCAAAATCGTGCGGGGAGGCCAACCTGCCGTAGTGCTCTAACCCCAAAAGCAAAACAGGAAAGACCTGGTTTAGGGTTTAGGGTTTAGGGAAACACGACCCTGCCCCCAAATCCCACATGACAGGTAGCGTAAAGTAGCACTGAATCCACCTAAGCTATAGTCTGAACGCCTCAAAGGGGACTATATAAAGGGTTATATAGGGGAGGAGTATAATAGGGGTGATTTAGGGGGATACTAGGAGTTTAGACTATGATTCTATGACCCTTATAACCCCCTATCTAACCATGTATACATATATATATCTATCAGTTTCCATTTCTTTTTGGATTTCTTTTCCATTTAGTTCTCCATTATTAAGGGGATTCTAGGAGTGTAGACCATGGCTCATATAAACTAAATCCTAAACCCTGATATATCTACCCACAGGGTGAAGATCATGGGCATGTGTGCTTGAACTATTCCAATGAGGAGTTTGCGGGCCCGAACTTGCACATGACTAGTACCGCCTTGGATCATCCTGAAAGTGAGGCTCATGATTGTGAGATTCATGGTTGTGGTAGCGGGGACAGTGATGTTTTGGTTGTGGCTGGCAATGAGGAGGTTGGAGGTGGCCATGAGGATGGTAGTGAACCGGTGCAAACACAGAACGGGGATCACAGCAGTTGTGCCAGCACAGGGAGCTGAACTGAGGGGCCGCAAAGCATAGTCCGACTGGGCAACAAGAACCCGCGAGCGTAAGCTAGACCCGAAAGAGTCCACGGGGTTGTAAAAAAACATATCTACCCTATTATCATGTAGTAGTTTCCATTTTGTTTTCCATTCTGCCTTTATATCCCAAATGTACAATAGTAGTTTCTAAACCAATTTGAGTAGTATTTTATTTGGGGATAAATTGGGTACTGCCCGAATCCTAAACTCGTCATTTCACCATTCTCGGGCCACAAGAGCTTTCGCGCGCTCATATGACCGACCGACGTCCGTGAATACTATGGTACCCAATATAGAGTAAGATTACATCCTCCTTTTGGGGTATAGTATTTTATATAAGGAATATAATCTTACTGAGTTATCCACCAAAAAACGCTACTCATTTGAACAACCAGCATCGCCACCCTAGAGACCCGACGCTCAACCCTACAAGCCGAGGACATGATAGCTGAAGCATCTGAAGAGCCAGGCCTTCCATTTTTTTGCAAGGGTCATAGGTTTGGGATTCAGGGTTTGTAGTTCTGTGTTTAGGGTTTAGAGGTTGTAAGGGTCATAGGTTTGGGATTTAGGGTTTGTAGTTCTGTGTTTAGGGTTTAGAGGTTGTAAGGGTCATAGGTTTGGGGTTTAGGGTTTGTAGTTCCGTGTTTAGGGCTTAGGGGTCGGGGAGATAGTCCCGCAAGACCTTCCCCACGCCCAAGGGCCCCTCGGCCCTGGCCGTAAACCCTAAACCGTAAATCCTAAGCCCTAAGCCCTAATAGTATCTCGTAGCGGGCAATCAAGGGGTCATTAGATCTGCATCAAGAAGAGCCGTCCTAAAGTGCAAAGACACAGCCCCCCGATTTCTTCGATGAAGTAGGCAGCGAGTGATTTTATGTAGTGGTTTGAATAGGGTTTCTACGAAAAAGAAGAGGGAACATGAAACTGGGGGTTCATAGGGGGTTCGGGTCATCTCTTGTTAACAGCAATAAGGAGGAATGGGCAAGGAAATGTGAACCTGATATATAACCCCAAACCCTAAAGCCTCATACATGGAGTATAGGGATCCATGCTTCAGCCGAGATTTTGGGTGAAGCCCAGCAGCAGATTTGCATCACAGTTTTCTCTGCTTGCCTGACGGAGGAGATGCGGTTTAGGGATAAGGATTTAGAGATTAAGGTTTAGGATTTGGGGTTTCGGGTTTTGGCCGCTCGTACTCTTATCTTTGACCAACCTTACGAAATTATCGTTCAATCTACCCACATCGCTACTTAATCAGTTCGAGCTTCGTTTTACACCAGTACGCAGAGATCGAATTGTCGTGCGCGCCCTTCCTGCAGACAGGGCCCTTCATTTCGACCGCCTGATCTTGTTTTGTTTCATAGCCTCTGCATAGTCTAGGTGCAATCACTAAATTCCTTCACCCCCCAAACCCTGAACCCTCTAAAACTAAACCCTAAACCCTAGGTAGTCTATGTGCTATAACTCGCGACTTCTTCGGAAGAGCTCTTGTATAATCCTGAAGGGAGACCCCCACAACCATCTTATTATAGACACATATTCTGTATCTGTGTTTATACATACATACATACATACATACATACATACATACATACAAATGTATATATATATATATACACATACATTTAAAAACAGATAGATCGACAGATAGATAGATAGATAGATGTATCTGTCTATAGACAAAGATGTAGAGATGTATACATATATACACGGATATATAAGTGTCCAAGGTCCCCAGGCCCACCTGTTGTGAGGATTCCCACATAGCCTCCCCTAATGACTACAAGGATTCTGCCTCAGGAGTTAGGGACTTCAGGCATCCTCACGGGGCCGCAGGAAAAGGGGACCATAAACAGCACAAACCCCAAACCCTGAAGCCTAGACCCTAAATGATATATAGTAGTTTCCATTGTCTTTTCCATTCTTACTAAGACCCCATGACCCTTGAAGAAAGACTCCCCAAGACTTCCCTATATCTAAGCTTGGGGGTATGCGCCCCTAACATGGGCCCTCAGGCCTTTTAGGGGGACCCTAGGGACCGTCAAGGATCCCAGGGTTAATGGCCCATACTAGGAGCCCATGGTTTCAACCTTAGACTATAGCTTTGAAGGGCTTCGAACATGGGGCGAAGTGTTAAGCCCTAAGCTCTACGCCTTGAACCAAGCTCTTGGGATCCATACTACAGCCCCAGCCCGACACCCTATCTATAGTCCCCCTTAAGTAGATAGAACATGGGGTATATGGGGATCTTGTTATACTATACCACGAGCCACGTTCTATCTACTTAAGGGGGACTATAAACTTTTAACTGCCTGATTTTTTGAAGGTGTCGAAGCGGAAGCTTTGACGGACCTTGTCGATTCGATGCTTGGCTTCTGCATGTCAGATCCGCTGAGCCCGGAACGGCGTAGCATTTGGAGTTTAGGGGCTTCAGAATTTGAAGCTTTTGTGCTTGAAGGGTGGATGTCGCCAGTCCAGCAACCGCGACTCGCAGGCTGCGCAGTACCTAATTTGCATGATTGGTTTGACCCTTACGTGATTTTGCTCAGTGCTGCAAAAAGTGGTATGAAGCGTCAGAAGGCTGATCATCATTGTCATCGGAATGTATCATGCCTATTGCGGTTTTGGAGGGCAACCGATTCGCAAAAGTGTGAGGGCTCCTACGACGGAAGCTCCAGAACGCAAGCATTTAACCTCAGCTCAGAACCCTCAACCCTAAGTTTCCAACCCAAAACTCAAGGGCTTCTGGTTACAGCTGTAGGCCCTATATCCCTCAAAGCCGTTACGCAGCGAACCCGTGCGCCCTTGGTGCTGGAGCCCGAGGATGCGAAGTGCTGCTCGAGAGAGGAACTCTGAGCCTGGGTTGTTGGCTACAAAGACCCCACGAACATCTATAGGCGGTTTAGGGTTGGAATATTTGGGGTTTAGGGATATTAGCGATATTTGAGCTTTAGGGATATCAGAGACTTTTGAGTTGAGGTTTAGGGATATTACCTTAATCATGGAAAATTGAACGAAAAAGAAACGGAAACAGGCAAGGGAAACTGGGATTATGTAGTGGATTGTCCCCTCCCCTCCTAATGTCAATTATTTCCTCTGTGGCATATCGTCATGTGCGAAGGACATTTCATATCAGGGGGGTGGCGGGTTACAAGGGGGTTGGCTGACTTGGAACATAGAGTCGAAACTACCGCGCGAATTTACAGTCTAGGTTTTGGGGCACGCGGACTTAGTAAGTAGGTTACTCGCGAGCGGAATTTGATGGGTTGTAGGGAACATGTTCGCTGACTTCCCTGAGTCTTCGAGTAATTTTAGGATCCCCAAAACAAGTCCCTGCTACCGCCTATCAATTTACTCTAAACTTCCCGGGTTGTCCTTCTGATAATGTGATATTTCTTCTTTAGATCATTTAACTGGTCGGGGCAAAGGGTTCGCTTGCAAGGCACTTTGAGTTTGGAGTGTCGTGGTTCCCCCTTAGTTAACCCAAGTTAACCAAAAATGGGCCTAGTTAAGGGGGAACCTTGGGTGGGGGCATAGAGCGGCTTTGTTGCGTAGGCGGCGGCATTTTGTTGGTATCATGGGTTCCCCTACTGTCCCCTAGGTACCCCATAATTAAGTTCATCTGAGGATAGCTAGGCCAAATACGATTAATTAAGGGTGAACCTAGGGGGGTAGTAGGGAACCCGTGAAGGTATCCTGGTCCTATTTGAATGTCAACTGGTGATTTGCTGCCATCCTTGAACGGTTGGATTCTTTATGGGGGTCGCTCTAAACGTGCTTTGGGAAAACAATCTAGGTTTCCTGTAGGTCTATAAGGGCGAATATAGGGAAAATTGTTTGCCGTGCATTTTTTTGGTACAAGTATGTCACGATGAAAAGCAAAACCACAGCCTTAGGCCTACTGAGAAATTACCTTGGTCTTCGTGTTCAGATAAGAAATCGGTTTAAGCTAGTGATTATGCTCCTGTGATGTTTTCGCTTCAGACTGAACTATACTTGCAGTGTAGTCCTGACAGATGCATGTCCCCAGCGACGTACCATGGCATTCCCTGAATCCTTAGCAACCCTCCGTATACAAATATCACGCCCCATAAGCAAACTTGGGACGGCCTATAGCGCCTTTAATTTAAGCGGGCTCCTAGACCACCCCCAAAACTCCGAGCCTAGTTGAAGAGCTACCAGCCATCCTTAAAGGAACCCCCCTCCACCCTAAGAAGCCCTCATGGAAGCTAGTAATCTACCATAAGGAGTAGGGTCAAAGCCTAAACCCCAAACCCCTAAACCTCCCATCCAAAATCTAAACCCTAAACCACCAACCCTGAACAGCAAACCCTAAACGCCAAACCATTAAGCCCAAACAGGTGGGAATGGAAGTAGTTTCCATTCTATTTTCCATTATCCCTATATAACCCTACCCTATATATACCCTATTATAATGTAGTAGTTTCCTATATCTTTTTTTATATTATCCCTATATAACCCCTATATTGCCCGAGTCAATGTCGCCGCCAAGGAGCTGGAGAGAACGAAAGGAGCCCCTGGCCAGCCGATGCTGTGGCCGACAAGAATACTTGGGTTTAGGGTCTAGAGTTTAGGGTTTGGGGTTTAAGGTTTAGAGTTTAGGGTTCGGGGTTTGGGATTTATGGCCTAGAGTTTAGGGTTTGGGGTTTAGGGTTTAGGGTCTAGAGTTTAGGGTTTGGGGTTTAGGGTTTAGAGTGGTTAGGGTAATGGAGGAGGTTCAATGCCCTTTCACAAAAGGGTTTGGGCTGTCTAGGGTATATGAGGTGTAGGGTTTAGGGGCAAGGTGTCCAGGCCCCCTTCCAGGTATCGTGAGCAAAGGGTGTTGTCGGGGGGGGGACGAGAGCCCCTTCTTTGGAGGAATTCAGACTTGGAGTTTAGATTTTGTGGTTAATTCAATTATGCTTAGATGCACAATGGCATGAACCTTGCCTAGGATGGCACATGTAGGCAGTCTTTCCTGCATAGTCTGCGCAGTTTGTATCTTTTTGCAAGTTTAACATAAAAACATGTTGCCTAGAGCTTGGTCTGGGCGAGGGATTTTCCGTTTTCCAAGTGGTGGCTGGATAGCAAGAGTGTCCTTGCTTAGTGCGCTTTCGCTGGGGAGACAACTCTTCCGCATAGTTAGCGTAGGTGAAAAATTGCATGCATATCAGCAAACAGTCCTTTTCTTGAAAGAAGCCAAGGGTCTTTGAGTGAACCCCAAACTTAATGCTCGCACCAGGAACAGCAACGTGGTAGCCATGCTGTCACTTGGGAATGCGGAGGATGCAGAGGAGGAGACCTAAAGGTGGTGCCCAAGTAAAGGTTTGCAATTGTGGTTTAGGGTTTATTTAGGGCCTACTGTGTGGATTGTGGTGTGAAATGCCTAGGGTCTACAAAGAGGTTGTTGAGTCAAATATCAGGATGTATGCCCAGAAAGGGGCCCTACACAACGTGCATTTGGGGCTTCAATTTGGTCTGGGAGGGTAAGTGGGCTTTCTTCTATTCTTGGCGGCAAGAACTCATGAGGAGGAGGTTTCCTGCCTTCTTTGTCTTCGGGTTGCTGTAAACTGTTTTGTTTCTATGCATCAGCCTGTTGCAAATGGCAAAACAAACAGTCCTTCTTTCCAGCCATGCTACAGCGGAGGGGTTGCGACAATCTGCATTGTGTTCATCGATTCATGTTCGACAAGTGTCGCCCCTCCAGCAACTGCTACGGTGGCTTTATTAGGTCGCATGTTCGTTTGGGGGAGTGTACTGCTTTCATGTTATCTTGAAAGCATGGTGGCGCCTAAACTTCTTTCTGCCGATAGGACCTCCGTCTGCAGAGGGCACAACAGAAGCGAGATCAGGCCGGCTGTACTTCTGTGGATTAGGTTTGAAAGAGCCTTCTTTAAGAAAGCTGTATATGGAGCTACAGGGATCCACCCAGGTAAGCCATCTTCCGTTGTGGGCCCCATATGAGAACTCTAGCATCCTGGGGGGCGTTTTGGTGTGGAGTTATGGGAGCAAGCCCTACTGTTGATAAATTTTGGCATGTTGAGCAGATCAGAAAGAATGTCAAAAAGATGGCAAGGCATGAAGCCACATATACTCTGAATCCGATTCAGATGTCCCTCGCTTCTTAGACGTTTCTCTTGTCAAGTCGGAATTGCGGTCTCCTGCAACTTGCTTCACAGTTTACATAGGAGCCTGGAGAGGTTACAATGAAAAATGTATGTGTTAGGTGGACCCCCACCCAGTAGTAGTGACTATAAGGGATAATAGGGATTATATTAGGGTCCTCTCATATTCCTATTATACCACTATTACAGGGTGGGGGGTCCTCCTAATGCATGTGGGTGATTGCTATTGAGGATCCACTTGGGACCTGAGGGGCATGTGGCTGGCACTATACAGGCGTTATGTTCGTCCTAGCATTTCCAGATGGGTACTTTACTGTTGGGAAACCTTCCTCTTGTACAGCAACTATGATTCCGTTCCAGTTAGATTGCTGTGGTGTTTGGTAAGATGACCACCCTAAACCCTAAACCGCATGTACTTTGCCTGGATTGGGCAGTAAATCTGTGGCTTGCTGGTTTCAAGGATGTGCAGGGGTTAGAGAAGGAGTATATATGGGGGTTAGACAAGGAGTCTATACGGATTTATGTAAGGATATGATTTAGAGCATATAGAATTGAGGGTTAAGGATCAGGGTTTTGGGCAAGGGGTTCCTCATTGTCTTGTGGGTAGTGTAGACGCCTTAATCATAGTTCATTTTTCCCGTCCTAATTCATAACCGTTTGTAGCAAAGGTGGAATAAACGATCGAAACACTGTTCTGATTAATTTGACCCCTACATCACTACAAATCTCATTCGAGCTCGCTTTATTCTTCGTGTACTTCTCCAGACCGCCATACATCCCGCTATATCCCGCCACTCCTCAGTGAAACACCCCAAACCTCGTATATCCGTATATGTCCCAATACTATACATCTCAACCTAATCCCCCCACAGAGGTACCCCAAATGCCAAGCCCTAAATTGTGGAGTTTAAAAGGTTTCTAAGGCTTAAGCCCAAAACCCTTAATCTACGGATGCTCCTTCTGCAGGTCTTCCTCCGGAATCGGGCCAGGAAGCAGCACCGAAGCTGCAAGTTCGGGGGAGTTCATGGCCTGAGGTTTATAGGTCGGGCTTTTAGCTTTAGGGCTTGGGGCCGCCAATCAGTGAAACAGAGGAGAGAGGAGTCTGGGACCATCAGAGCTTCTTTTGTAGATATTTGCTGTCCGTTCACGGAAAAGCAGTACCGATCTGAATATGCGGCTGCTTCTCGACAAGAGGCGTGTTAATCAGGAGACTACATCGTGCTGAAGACATCAATGTGTTGTGCTGGATCGTTAGGCGTGCAAAGGCTACTTCGCAGTCAAATGAGGCCTATATGCGGTTGGCTGTACGAGTGCGGGGGTAGTCGTGAGGTTCAAGAGCGCTCGGGGTGTGCGAATGCGCCCTAAACCCACAAGCTCCTGACTAGAGGTAATGTAGGCCCGTGATGAATAAACCACCTCTTTAAGGGCCTTTATGTTAGGCTCCCTGTTGTAATCCTCATTAAGGGGACATTTTTTTAAAATCAGGGGTCTGGATTATACCAACCTAGCCGAAGGACCGCTGAACTTCTCAAGTAGGCTCGCCGAAGCTTTTAGCAAGCGCCAGGTCCAGCAATGCTCCCCTGATATGAAACCCCCTGCCCCCTAATGTCAGATATTCGCTTTGTGGTATACTATACTCTATTCTGACTGGCATATTCAATAGTAAGTGGGGTGGGGGGTTTTCAACATTAGGGGCAGACGAGCAGAAAAGTAAGTTGGGGACAAGGTTGCCCTTGCCCTAGGCTAGATTTGGCAGCCTCTCCCTTTTCTTGTTGACCGACGTCCAGCTTTTCTAGCCATGCCGGATTCTAGTGAGTGGCCTTTAACCATTCCGAGCACCATAAAGCCTACAAGCTTATTTCCTGAACGCCTGCGGTGGAACGGGGAAATCTTGCAACACCTAGCATTCCCAACGTGCTAGTATGATTTCCTCCATCCACAGTAAGAACTTCCTTGGGAACTGTTCGCCAAAAAGGGCCCAACAACTGAGCGGTGAAGCCCTCAGGGTTAAGGGTTTGGAGTTTCTAGTTTGAGGCTGGGTTCCTGTGGTTTATGGGGTTTAGGGTTTAGGTTGGGTACTGCCGCCACCCAGTAACAGTCTATATTAGGGGTCCTATTAAGGGCTACATTGACATATAACCATATGAAAATTGTTATTCAACTGTTACTGAGTGGGGGCAGTATCCAAGGTTTAGGGTTTAGGGTTGTCAGTGTTTTGAGCTAAGATTTCGGAATGGGGAGTTTGGGGGTGCAATCTCCAATCTCGACAACGTAACAAAGACACCACGCTCCGACTCCTACACCCCAAGTACATAATCCGAGTATAACCCCAATATGCTATAGTGGTTTTCATTTTCTTCTCCACTATCCCCATCTAACCCCAAAAGATCCCAAACCCTAAGCTCTATATAGTAGTTACCATTTTCTTCTCCACTATCCCCATCTAACCCCAAAAGATCCTAAACCCTAATCTCTATATAGTAGTTCCCATTTTCTTTTCCATTATCCCTATATAACCCCAATATTCAGATTCAAGTGTAGTCGTCCCTGTATCTGTCATGTAGCTGAGAACTCTAAGACCCCGGGACCCAGATCCCAAAGACTATTCAAGCTCAGGCGCCTAAGCCGCAACTCGCGCCAAATCAACGATTCAAGTTCCTAGATATAACCCCAAATAACCCAATTCAATAAAACACAATATTACCTACATGTTATGTTGCAGGCCCTTACAGCAGCAGAGCCCTCCACGTCTGCAAGCTACGCCCTTAGCTCTAAGCTGCATGCTGGCAGAGTCAAAAGCTAGGAGTTTAGGGATGCGCATTTCGGATTGGGTGGTCTAGGTATTCGGGATTACGGATTCCTTGAGGCTACGTTGTTCCCAGTTTGTAGAGCTTAGTATTTGGAAGCTGCAACACCGCAGACAGCTGACGCGCAGCCATAGTATCAGAGTGCTTTCAGCATAGCAAGTTTACCTGCCCTCATCAAAGGCTTCCGCGCAATTCATTTGGGAAACTTGGATTTTTTTGAGTTGACTTTCAGCATTTGAGGCATGAAGCCGCCCTTCTTCCCATTGAATTTACTGCGGATGGAGGAAGTTGTGCACCACGCTATACCCCAGGAATTTTAGTACATTCGGGATCTTAAGGAGGCGCAGAAGTACTTTTTGATGCCGAGGGTATTCGATGCCAAGGGTATAGGGTGCTGCTTCTACAAAGCCAGGCTTCAGTTAGGTTGGGATCTAGCATCGTGTGTAGGGCTTACTAAACCCTAAGCAACCCTAAACCCTATGCAAATTGTTTGGAGGTTCCTAAGCCACTCTCAGTGCAACTTGAGTGATCACCCAAAGGTCCGTAAAAAGAATAAAAGCCTAAGGGATGACTTAGGTGGACCCCCCCCAGTGACTATAAGGGATACTAAGGATGATAGTAGGGTCCTCTTATATTCCTACTATACCACTATTGCAGGGTGGGGGTCCTTTTAAAATATAACCAGGTTTTATTCATCCTCTCTTGTAGCTACTTCGTAGTACAGATGACCCCAGTGTCTCGCAACATGCCGATGTAGGTTGCACTAGATGTTTCCCCCCAATCCCTTTGTCATCCCCAGCATGAATCACTATAGTGCAGCTTTGTACTATACCCCAGGTTGCTTAAACCCAAAATAGTAGGAATTCATACTTTATTCTGGGGGTTCCCTGTTTGGGGTTCCTTTTTTACATCCGTTACTAAACCTCAAACCCCTAAACCCTACAATTCTAAACCCTAAAACCTTAAGCCCTAAATTCTACGCCTTGAACAAGGTTGCATGTGGGTGGGTTTCAAAATTATGGTCCTTTTTTGGATCCCTGTTATAATGCGGCACCGAATATTTAGGGTACCCTAAGAGGGACAAGACTTTTGACAACCACCCATTTGCCTGCCAAGGAAGCGAGGCAGCCTGACAAGGACTTGAGCAGCTGCATCTACGAGCCTCAGGCATTAGGGTTTAGGGTTCA